CAATAAATGATCATAGAGATAATAATTTTGAGACCATTTCCAAGTGATATAATGATAACAGCATAATAATATAAGAATACATTCCCAAAGATCAATAAACTTTAAATATTTAATGGTGGAAGTGCAAGACATTTTCAATATCTAAAATAAACAAACACAACAACAGAAACAACAAATAAAATAAAAGAACACTGTAAACAAAATTATTCTTTAAAATGGAGCTAGTTGAGACCAAAACACCAGATTTAAAGTTTCTGTCAACCTGGTTTTGGCAGAAGGAGAAAAACTAATAATTATGCAAGTGAAAATTATTGAGTTCATTTTAATTTATCATGCGACTACTCAATCTTATCATAATTTTATAATAGATAATCCCACAACTTTTGACGCAATATTTAAGTAAGTTTTAAACAATTACATTTTCTAACTTCTTGCAGCAGCGAGCTGTCCTGCAGTGCTGGCTTGTACATAAGCAGGAACAATAAGTTGGAATTTGGTTTCACATATGAAACAAAATGATGGTTTTCTGGTCAGGCTTGTGTAAAGTTACTATGATGTAATTAAGTCAGGAGTAACTTCCTGCTAACTTCCTGCTAGCTTGTTTAATGCAGCTTAAACAAGCTGCATTATACATTCAATGCAGCTTGTTTAAGCTGCATTGAATTTATAAACTTTTAGTTACAGTATTGAGCTAAATGTGTTGCTAAAGTGTTCCACAATTGATGCAGTGAAGCAATTTAAAACCAAAACATTAGAAACATGCTTGTGCATCATAATGGTGATAAGTTAAATTTGTTGCATTTTATGTCCATTTCTAGATCCGAAAGTTTAAAAATACAACAAAATGTTTCATATTTCCATTTGAAACTTCAGAATTATTATTAATCTGCATTTTAATTAATACAAAATGGTCTGAAGTAATTGTTTTGGGTGAACTCGAATAAATGTGTTTGGATGGAATCAAAAGTGAATTAAATCAACATAAATCAAGGGAATAATTTTCTAAAAAGCACAAGCTAAACTTCCTCTCTGTTGGACAATAAATATCTAATTAGTTTAAAATTAAGCACAGTTAGTGTCAGTGATTTTTGAGCCTCCTTTATATTCTTTTATTAACCAAACTATAAGTAGCTTGCTCGATAAATTTATACATTTACTGGTCTGCTGTAGTTCTGAGTCACATTTCTGCAAATTGTTCCTGTTTTTCTGTTTGTTAGCTTCAGCTCTAACCTACCTCCACAGCAAGAGGATCATCCACAGAGACCTGAAACCAGAGAACATCGTGCTGCAGCAGGGGGAGAAGAGGGTGAGTTTAAACCCCCAAACCACAACAAAGACGGTCATGAACATAAATCTTCTCAACATGTTTAGTCCTTCCACTTCATATGAAATGTGGAAAACTGAGGGGTTTGCACTTCACTTTGCCTATTGTGCAACAAATCATTGCATGTCATGATCCAGCCTAAAACGTTATGCAACTGAGGTCAGACTCATTAAAGAATTTATATTCATGTTTATGCACAATATTATGACTTCATAAAAAGCAACAGAAGGAACATTCTCAATCTACTCAAGTTTATAGTTTAGCATGACTGTTTTCTCTGACATGCATAAAAAAATAAAAGTCTCTGCAGGTAATGTCAGCGATTATTTACAGAATCATATTCCTGTCTTGTTGCATTTTAGACGTCCAGCAAATATGAAATAATACAAATCAAGGAAATGTATAGGACAAAAAAAATCTACTTGGTTTGCTTTTAAGCAGTTTGAAAGAATCTATAAGGCATGACTATTTTAATTGTTTTACTCTATTTTTTTATTTCCTACAAATCCAAAATACAGAAACGTGTGAAACCTTTTAGAACATTGCATAACTTTCTCAATAAAACAAAAATCTGTTTAATACTTGTCGTACCATCTGTTTTTTGCATCTTTTTTAATGGGGTGGAGTCCCTCAGAGTGATTCCACTGCTGTTTTCTGCAGGGATGCGTCTCTTTTGAGATTATTGTTCATTATTGTGGCTTTGAACTAACATGCAAACGTTTTGCTAGCACTGATTCACAATGAATGAAGCGTGTTGCCATTTGAGGAACTGTGCAGCATTTTCAGGCAAACAAGTGAAAACAAAGAACTGATCCAAACAGATTTACTCATCCTTTTATTTTGTGTTTTCTGTTTGACGATTGAAGAAAATAACTTTAATAACTGGCAATTTCACTGCTTAGTTTTGTCCAGTGAGAGGTTTACCAATGGGAAGACGAAAAGAATCTAACAAGGTTAGAAAGATTGGTCAGTATGAACTCTAAAGTAAAAAAACAAAATAAAATTAAAACTTTGTTTAAACAAATAACTTTGTTTTTCTGTCAAATTGTATTTGAGTCATTCTGTCAAGCTAAATAGTTCAAAAGAAAAATGTTTTGTGCATTTTTCTGGGAGGAGTCGAGTTTTTTCAGTAATTTTTCTGCTTTACAGTTGTTATTGTTTACAAGGTCTTCATGGTGTGCAGGATTTCAACATGCCGTTTTAGACTTTTTTTAAGTTTATGCTTCTATCTGCAGACATCATAACTCCAAGAAAAATTAGTCATTCTCATTTTGATTTATTTGTCAAACAGGGAAAAGAAAAAATAAAACAAAAGCATAAAAAAAAACCTTCTTGATCACATATACAAAAAAATTCTATGTATCTGTCAGCAAAGAAAAATACTTCTTGTTTTATTTTGTTTTCTATTTCATGCAATTAAAAAAATATTTAAATATGAAATTGATGAAAATAAATAACCTTATAAAGTGATACCAAGTACCAATTCATGTCATTATTTGTGAATATGAGAGCAGAAACGAGTTCCAAGATCAAAATATTTTACATTTGTCTGATTTAAAAAATGTAAATGTGAACAAAAAAAATTAAACAGATAAGTAATTACTCCTCTCTATCACCCACTTGCCCCATGGGGGCATCTTTCTTTTCCACATTAAGAATCACTGATTTAATCTGATGTGGCACAAAAGTGAATGTGCAAAGCTGAGCTTGTTTTAGTTCTTTTCACATTCTTACCGTCAGAGTTGGGTAACAAAACGACCCCAGAGACGATGCTGTTGGAAATATTTCTACACGCAGAGCAGTTACTGTGGTTTCAGTGCTGGATGGATAACAGAGGCACCGCATGGCGTCAGTGGATCAGATTAAACCCAAAGTCTGATCATTTTTCTGTTCCCTGGCGCCTAAAACGAGGCAGAATGAGCTTTGCTGCTTCTGCGTCACAGATTTGGATGCTGTCATGTCAGAGTTTACTTTATTTGAGCTGCAACAAGTAAAAAATGTTGGTCAACTGCTACATTTATGTGTTGATGGTTTCCTGTTGCAGTGGTGAAACTGTCTTTGCACAAGCAGCAACCAAGATAACTGGGAATTTCCAGGTTTTGGCTGAGGTTTTAGGTTTACCTGAGAGTAACACTCAGGGTGGTGTTTTTTCTTCTTTTAGCTGGAAACGTAAACATCCAGGCTGATTGCTGTTTCTTTCATAATATGCCTCCTTTCCAGTTGCCATATTGCATTTACAGAGACAAAATTAGATGATTTTATCTTTATATTTTACTATTCCAGCTCATCCATAAAATTATAGACCTCGGCTATGCTAAGGAGTTGGACCAGAGCAGCCTCTGCACATCGTTTGTGGGAACACTACAGTATCTGGTGATTGTTTTAATATTTCATCTTTTACCATTTTTGACGTCATCTTTTTGTTCTGGGCTCTAAATCTGCTCTTTCTCGTCTCAGGCTCCAGAGCTTATTGAGAGGCAGAAGTACACGGTCTCTGTGGACTACTGGAGCTTCGGCACACTGGTGTTCGAGTGCATCACTGGATTTCGGCCTTTCTTACCAACCTGGCAACCTGTTCCCTGGTAGATTCGCATTTTAAGTCTCTTATATGTGAAAAAAGTTGGTGATGTGATGATTTAAATTCAAATCGGCTTCTTGTTAGTGCATTGAACTGCTTTTATTGGTCAATACTCTTTGTAAAAAGAATCCCAAAATGTTTTTCTTGCACTTCACAGCAACATCTGCCACCTCTGACCATAACATAACCTTATTTAAATACAAAAACTAATGTTGTTTTGATATTTTGTTTAAATCAGAGAGGCTATTAGTACTTGATGCAGCCATGTTGTTTGATTCGTTTGATTTCTTACCAATTTTCTGTCTGATTATTGTAAATAAAGCCACTAGTGACTCACAAGTGGAAGTAGATACAAACATCACAAAAACCCAACATTTATACAGTTGAATTCATTTAAACTTAATTTGTTTAAACAAATATTCAAAATAGATTTGAAAAAGAGAAAAAAAACATATACAACTTAAAAGCAATTGAGATTTTCAAAGAATCTAGATTTAGAGGAAATATAAATTAAATGTGTTTATTTATGGAAGAATATCAACAACGAGATAAAACAATCTAAATTTCTATGCATTTAGAAAAAAAGTGAAAATCATGATGAAGAAATATGGCCTTGAATAAGCTGATGTTTTGTTGTGTTTGTGAATTTGAATTATGTCCATAATAATATTTATAACATCAGCTTATTGTGATCGGGGGCAAATATAAGCTTATGCTTCCTTCTGCTTCTTTTCATTCAGGATTTCTCTGTTACATTAACTATTCATATCTATTGAGTGAGTTGAATAAAAAATAAGATGGAAAAAAAAAAAAAAACTCAAATCAGCCACAAGACATGATGCTGCCACCACCGTTTTCCACATTGGTCTTCTGTTGGTGGTTTTTATGCCAAATGTGGCTTTTGTCAACTCTAAACTCTAAAATTGTTTGGTTTTCTTTCGGAAGACTTCAAACATGTTCTTGCTTAACTCAGTTATAAAGGTCATAGGTCACATAAAAGGTGGAAGGAAAGAATTTGTGTTGATTTTCTTTTTTACATCTAGAAAACTTTCTTCACCCACTGCATGTCTATTGTTGCAACAATGAAAAATCCCAAGCTGGCATCAATAAAGTACATTTATTTTAATACAGATGAAATCGTGCAATCTGCAGTGACTCATTGTGGATCATTTTTACTGTTAGATGTCAAAACACAGAACAGTGATGAAGACTTCTACCTTTCTTCTTCCTTATCTCACGTTCTATCAGCAGTAATAACGTAAGACAATTTAGCAATATTTTCTGAAGCTAGACAATTATTGGCTTTATTTAAGATAAATATTATTGCATGACGTCTGGACTGAATGTAAGAAAAACAGGAGTTTCCAATGAATTGCAGGATATGTGGGTGGTGCCAGCATCAGTGCCCCTTGTTGTTTCACCAGTGTAATGAATGACGTGAAGCTCATGGGGGACGCTGTTGGAAAAATACTCCCTAAGCTTGGCAGGAAGTCATGGTCTGGTCTTTGCAGAGAGGAATTTCACTCCAACAATCATCCCACCCTCCTAAAGACACAAAGAGGACAAAGTCAACATGAGGCTCTGACCCATCTGTGTCTTTTTAGGCACAACAAAGTCAGGCTGAAGAACGACAACGACATCGTAGTTTACGAGAGCCTCTCTGGCGACATCCGCTTCTCCAAAAACCTGCCCCAGCCCAACAACCTCAACAGGTGATTTTATACACAACACACACCAAACTCAGCTAGAAAATACTCCCTACTACATAGTTACTTTATAATAATAATAATAATAATGCATTTCATTTGTAGGCGCCTTTCTGGACACCCAAGGTCACCTTGACATAAAAGCAAGCAGATTATAAAATACATACCGGTAATAAAAAACAAACAAACAAAAAAAAAAAAAAAGATTTATAAGACAGTACAAAGATAATTAAAGGCTGTATGCTAGTTCAAACGAATGGTTTTGAGTTTGGACTTAAAATAAATATAAATATATAAATATAAATGTGTTAGAGAATGTTTGGTATTATCATTTTATTACTTTAGTTTATATTCAGTCTTATGTTAATTAGTTTAAAGTGTTCTCTTCCTTATGTGTGTATGAACTGACCTGGAGGTCAGGACTGTCTGTTTCATCTTCATGTGAAACAGTTAACTCTGTCTTTCTCAGACCTTAATTCTTATCAACCAGAATACCTCCTAACTGCCTGTGAGCAGTCGTATTTTGTTTTGTTAACAGCTTGACCGAGATTTGAACTGGGCTCAGATCGTAGATCAGATATCACACCTGGAAGAACTGAGTTGCTGGTTTGTTTAGGTTAAATGTTTTACGACCTCTGTTGTTTTTTTCTGGCTGCTCTGCTTTGACAATAAAACAGGGGCTCACGCGGAGGCAGATCAGAACTCTCTGTGAACGGCTGAAAAAGTTGTTGATGGAGATTTCTCCTTTTGCAAAAGCTTGTCATAAAATTCATATACGTTGTCTGTGGTCTTTTTTATAGGTTTGAGAAAAATACCTAACAAAATGTACATATATTTATATATAAAAAAATAAGAGCCCACTTCACTGAGCCCATTGAAAAACTCCTGGTTGTTCCACCAAAGTTAAAACATTAGAATTATTGTTTCTATATGAATATGAACTTGTTTTCTTTGCATTATTTGAGGTCTGAATGCACTGCATCTTTTTTATTTCTCATTTTCTGCCAATAAATACAAAATTTTTGCTCAGAATTTTAGAGACAAGTATATATAAAAACATTTTCCACTCACTGTCTGACTAGGGCTGGACGATATTGCTGAAAAATGTATCACCATATTAGGCTTTCATATCAGTCGATATCAATAATAAACACACCAGTTTTGAAAAAACTTGTTTTGATGCTAGGAGGACGTGATTTATTTTTTAGATGTATCAAAATTATGTCGCGTGAACAAAGTTATTTCTTATTTAATGTAAATCTTGTCTCATTTCTTTTAATTTTCCCATGATGTCATGTAGGGCTGGAAAATAACTCTCTGGTCACTCTGGTTACCTAGCAACAACTTGTGGTTACCTAGCAACGATCTGTCGAGTAACTGAGTAACAGTTTCACCGATCTGTCTCATAACTGCTTAAATAAAAAAGAAACTGAATTAAACAGGAATAAAATGCTAATTTAACAGAAAACTAGTCAATTATTAATATTGACTGAAATATTGACATGTTTTCAGCCACCAGCGTTGTGTTTGAACTGTTTCCTTAATGGTATCCTTCCAGTTAAATCAAATGCTGTGAATTAAATCCATTATATTATCTGGTCTAGCCCTTAGTGTATGAAAAGTTCAGATTTGTTGAAATTTCTTAAACAGAATATCATTACCGGATTTCAAAGCAAATAGAAATAGTTTTGCTGACTTAAAACAAAAAAAAAGGTCAGTCTGGTTTAATGTTTGTGTTTATTTTTATAACACATAAAGATGTGTTTTCATCTCCATCTCTGTCTGTTGTCTGACAGTCTGTTATCAGAGAGGCTGGAAAAGTGGCTCCAGCTCATGTTAAAATGGTCGCCAAAGGAGAGAGGCAAAGACCCCAATAACACACCCAGCGACTGCTTCCACCAGCTGGAGTCCATACTGCAGCTCAAGGTGAGCAGAGAACCATTTTTACTTTTACGTCCTGCTTTGTTTCCCTCATTTTATGCCGTCTCTTCAGCTGGTTCATGTCCTGAACATGATGTCTGCTAAAATCCTGATATACGCCATCTCGGACGATGAGACGGTAGCCAACCTTCAGCTGAGGATTGAAAAAGACACCAACATCCCTGCAGCCAATCAGGAGCTGCTGCTGGAAGCAGGGCTGGTCCTGGAGCCAAACGCGCTCGCCTCTCAGTCCGCAGTAGATTACATGGTAACGACGTCTTACAAGCAAAGTGTAAAACCTCAAACCTTGAGACTCTGGCTCATTATTTTGCTTTTCTATAGGAGGTAGATGGACGACGAACAGACTACACTCTTGTTTTCTTATTTGATTGCTCCTCTTGCACGTATGAGCCCCAGTTCAGTCCTCGGATACTTCCAGAAAATATCCGCTTCATCCGTAAGTACACAGCAGCAACTCAGCATGCTTTGGTTTGCAGAAAGGTCCTGAAGCCTCCTCAGGATGTCCATGCACAATGCAAAACACCAACTCTTACCAAGTCATCTTATTCTCGTTTCTACTGCAAATATCACACCTGAAATAGGACAAAACAAACTTACAAGTGACTTTTCAGCAAGATATCACAGCTTGTTTTATGTAAATAATTCTTTAATATTGGTGAAAAAGTGCTAGTTCCACTGGCAAATAAATTTACCTATAACAAGACAATTTTTGTTATAGGTAAATTATCAATGTTATAATTGAAATAATCTGCCACTGGAACTAGTACATTTTCATCAGCATCAAGAAATTACTTACTTTAAACAAACTTCTATATCTTGCTAATAAGTTACTTTTGAGTTAGATTTGTCTTAATTAAAATTTACTAAGATATTTGCACCAGAAACCAGATATAAGATTGAAAATATTTATGACTGCTGTCATGAAGTGTCATTTGGCCAACAATGCCATTTTTAATGTAAAGTTGCAATCAAAGAGCATTAAAAGTGTCAACTTAGCATTTTTCGGTAAATAATGACACTTTTAAAGAAAAGTTGCATTAAAATAGCATTAAAAGTCCATTAAAAGTGTCAACTCAGCAAAAAGTTTGAGACGTCTTCATAGGCTGAAACATGACTGAAGCCTGTTAAGGCTTGCTAGCATACAAACAAGCCATTAGCAGCTAGCATGTTGCTTTCTAGCTAGCTAGCTAGTTAGCACAGTTTTGGTTCCTCCCTACATTTCTTTTGTACATTTCTGTTATGATATAGTTCTTAAAAGATTTTAAAATGTCTAAAAGTTGAGTTGATGAAACCTGCTCCTTGTCTCTGTCGCAGAAAAAGATCCCAGACACTCTCTTCCGTACAGCCAGCTGAGGAGGACATGCGGCCAGGTGTGGCACACCATCCGCTCCCTGAAGGAAGACTGGCAGCGGCTGCAGCAAGGCCAGAAAGCTGCCATGTAGGTCCGACACACCAGCCAACCAACACGGAACTGAGCAAAAGTTTAAACCACTCCTGATTCATGTTTTACTGCTATGGAAACTAAAGAATGGTCCTGGAAATTATTTATCCAAATGAAATACAATTTAAACAGCAGGATTGAAATATTCATAGTTAAAAATACTTAGTGGTAAAATTTTACCCCAGTGGTTGAGAGTCATATCTGAACCTTCACCAGGGCTGTTTTTTGGGGTAAATTTCTACCCCATTATCTGTTTTTCCAAGGAAAATGCAAAGGAATTAAAGGAGAGCAAAGATTCTTATCAGAAAACAGCCTTGAGAATAAAGTTAATCTTATATTTTAAGTTGAGATTTAAGTTTAACTTAAATTAAAACTTAACTTAAACTCTAACTTACGTTAACTTAAATTTTAAATTAAATTCAAACTTAAGTTACAATTTAAGTTAACTAAAAATTTTTAAATAAGTCAAAGTTTAACATAAATTGTAACGTTAACTTAAGACGACTTTAAAATATCACATGATTATTTTTACTTTTTTGGAAACAAAATACAAGCTAGGTTAAGGCGGTAAATGAACCAAGGTTTTTTCACACTGTTTACATATTTATGCACATGCAGAAAGAACATTTTTTTCTTCTTCTCTCAGCATGAGCCTCCTGCGGCACAACTCCACGTTGTCCAAACAGAAGATTGAGATGGTTTCCATGTACCAGCGGCTGACAGCCAAGCTGGATTTCTTCAACACCAGCCTTCACATCGACATGGACAAGTACAACGAGCAGACAGCCACAGGGATCGGTACATTGTATTTTTATTTTACAGAAATTTGAAATAGATTAGGAAATATCGACATTTCACCTCAGCAGGAGCTAATTTATCCAAAACTGTCTGGATGACACTTTTACAGCATCGGAGAAACTTCTGAGCGTTTGGAGGGAAATGGAGCAAACGGCCCTGAGCTGTGGTCAGGTATGCTGGAGTGTTTCATTGTCTATGTAAGGAGTATTCGCATTATTCAAAGGATTAAAATGTGTGTGTTTGAAGGCCCAGGTGACCGAACTGGAAGAGGAGATGATGAAGCTGCAGCCAGACATCGTGGATGTGCAGAGGCAGCCATGGAGGAGCGGGGAGACTTTGGACACGCTGTGAGTCTGACCTAGAGTTTAAAAATAAACCCAAAAACCCACTTCTCCTTCAGCTCAGACTCACTTCTGCTTTTTAATCCTCAGGGAAGGAAAAGCCATGGAGTTGTTCCGCAAACTCAGGGAAAAACCCAGAGGTATGGGCTTTTTTCTTTTCTTTCTTTCTTTCTTTCTCAAGCATCACCACTCGTCTGGGTGTCTGCAAATGGAAACAAACAACGTTCTGGTTTTCCTTCCTCAGACCAGCGGACGCCAGGAGATGGCACAGAGACGGCCCGTCTGATGGTTCAGGCGGTGCAGTTCTACGAGAAGAAACTCAGAGATTTCTATACAGTCCTCAGGTACTTCACTAACATCCACATGTAGTTTGTGCATTTATCAGCCAAGAAACAGTCTAAAATGGAAATAAATTATAAATTTATGGTTGTCGTAGCATAATTTAGTCAAACTTATAATCATCACAAAAGAACTTGCTTACGTTCCTCTAGGATATTTAATCAACGGCTTGTTAAGGTGAAAAAAAATAACTTCATGGCATTGCAAATTTTTATTTTTTTATCTTTTAATTTTTTAATGAATGCACATATTGTCCTTCATGTAAGAGTCGTAGCACCATGCCAGATGAGTTCTTATAGCATTTGGGATTCTTATGAATATAAACAATACTCAAATATTAAAAAATTATTGTTAGTAGCAGTTTGACTTTAATGAACGTAGTGCACAAAGCTATATAAAAATAAAATAAATGTAAAACAAAAGCAAACAAATCAAAAGAAGAATAGTAGCAAAGCATATTTACATGTTCAAAGGAGTGGATGGAAGTAAATTATGAAGTTATACTCTTTTTTTGGGGGGTGAACAATATGAAACTATTGACCAACAGGCGTATTAAACCTACCTGATATTAGGCCTGACACAACAACAAATTCTGCTGGACGATAAATTATCTTAGACGTTTTTGACATAAACGATAATATTGTTGTTTTGAGGCTATTTTTTAAATAAATGCCCTAATAATGCAAGAACACATGCTCAAAGCTCAATAAACATTAAATTTAAACATTTAACTCTGGAACTGGAAGACATTTTAAATATCCAAAATAAATAAAACAACAAAATGAATTATGGTTTTAATCTGTCATGTGATTAATTGATTTCTTGCTTATTACGACAGGCACTCGACAAAATGCATCTGGTTTCTCAGTGATGCTTTTATGACTTTTTATTTTTGTGTTTTTATGATGTTGCTGAAATGTGATAAGAAATTAACTTGATTGATTGATTGGATAGGCCTCCAAAACAGTTTCCAGCCCAGGGCCCCACATTCTTGTAAATCCGGCCCTGATCACATTAAAAATAATCTTTCCTGAAGCCGCATCCTTCTGTGTTTATTCGAATGGAGGACTGAAATGCAGACAGGAGGCAGAGCTGGATCAAAAATAAAGGATTTAATGATGTGAACTCAGACAAAACCCAGACGTGTGACAAAGCAAAACAAGGCAACCACAGCTCAGAGTCAGGATAACCAGCACAGAATAAGTACAGAGGAGTGTGATTACAAGTAAGACTAATAAAACCAAGCGGAAACGAGAAGCCTGGGGGGAATCTGACAGGACGAACAAAAGCAAATAGAGAAACTAGAGAACTACATAATCACAAAGCCATTTCTGCAAACAAGTAGCTTGATTGTTTCTTTGCATTGGCATGGAGGTCATAGATTTCTCCTCATATTTGATTGGGAAGATTTTTTGGTTGAATCCAGACCAGCAGCTGGACCCAAAGCGCTCAGAGGCACAACTGGAGCCATGCCAGTCCAGTCTGGACTCAACCAGGTTGTCTTTAGGTTGTCTTTAACTTTATTTGACCAAACCAAGCCATGTGTGCATGATACATTCACTATCAGTAATACCAGAATGCTCCCTCACACCCGACCCAGTAACCTCAGGCTTTGACACACAAAGCCTGAGGTAAAACCCTGCAAAACCATCCACTTCCAAGCTAGTTTTTAGCATCATAATGCAGTCTTCATTTGTGTGAGGTTAAAGGGGACCTATTATGCCAAATTCACATTTTGCCAGTTTTTGTACTTGCATTTGGGTCTCAACTGCTTGAGTTCTAAAGTTTTAGCCATTTAGAAACGGCTAGAACTTTTTAGAAAGTCTTAGCTGTTTCTAAAACTTCCCGATTCTTAAGTCCCATTTAACAGGCACTGCACTGTTACCTAGCAACCCAAGCTGAGCTCCAGCACGTTTGGTCAGCTGGTTTTACCACTGTATGCACTGTACAATGGCTGCTGGAAAAGACAAATGTTTTGTTGTTGACTTACCATCCAGAAATCACTTGCTGCATTCTTGTTGGTTGTACAGGAGGCGCTACTTCTGCTTTTCAAAGATGTACAGTTGTATAGTTGTCCACCTGTTTGTAGTCATTTTCATGTACGGGTGTAAATGCTGAGTTAGGAGGGATGTGGCCAGCAGCAGCTTATTTTGATTTAAAGTGACAAGACACCCAGCTCTAAATAGGCAGAACGGAATAGACTAAAATCTGATAATCTAAGAATGATATTGAGGTAAATATGTACTGAACATGTTTCATAGACTAGGGGTGAACTGAGTTATCAGCCAGCCGATTTATTGTTGTCGATTTCCTTAATTTTTAGGGACCAGTGATTGGTTGATACTTACATGTGAAGCTGATTTTTTCTGCTTCAGGAAAGGTTTAAAAATCAACCACTGTCCTCTCCTTCTCTCCCATCAGAGAAGGTTGAATGGTAGATCGACCCACTGTTGACATCTTTGTAACTTTCTTACTTTATCTAGTAACATTTCAGACAAAGGAAATTGGTATCGACCTAAGTCAGAATCGGCAGGTCAGGCTTTTTAAAGATCAGTAATCTATTCTAACCTGTCCAAGGAGCACAACAGGATACCTTTAGTGGTTACCTTTTGCACAGGTAAATCCCAACAACTGCCACTCCAGTTGCTAAAATGTTTGGGGGTTTTCTGTGTGTGTGTGCAGTAAGACTGCAATGTGTCGCCACCGTGTGATGGAGCTGCTGCCGAAGGTGGAGGAAGTGGTCCAGAAGTTGGCCGAGAGCGAACAGGTCCTGATGGGTCTGCAGGAGAAACGACAGAAGGAGCTTTGGGACCTGCTGAAAATCGCCTGTGTAAGAACGCTCAATTAATTTCACAGAAACATACGACACAAGATCTTATTTATTTTGAATGATTAAAACTTTAAGAAAGCAATCTGTAAAACAGGAGGAGGAAGAAGCAGCTGGTTATCCAAATGTACAATCAAGACAAATATTCAGCTACAGCACCTGCTGTAGCGAGCGTGAAAAAGCATTTTCTCTTTTTTGTGCAGAGCAAAGTTCGAAGCCCTGTTAGCGGGAGCCCTGATGGACTCCGGACGCCTTCGTCCGTCCCTCCTCTGTTGACCCCTAGAAACAGCTTGCAGCAGCAGTGAGTATTTAATCAGTAGTAACTCCTTAACCTTATGCAGCTTTGATAAACATCGAGCTCTCTGAGGAAGTTCTGAGAAAACATGTGAAGGCGTTGTTTGGAGTTGAACGCTCCTTTTTTTCTACCATCTCTTTATTTTTCATGCTTGCATGCAGTCCAGTTTCCTGGGAATACAGTCACAGACAAGTTGTGATAACAGTATTAACGCCATGAATCATGCGTGTCTGCAGGGATGAGTCTCTAGTGGAGGAGAGCAGGACGTTCGAGAGTCGCCTTCAGAGTTTACTGCATGAAACCATCCAGGAGTCAGAGAGCAACATGGAGGTTTGTCCACTCATACTGAAAGAATTGTGAAAGAATTGAGCCTGCTGTTCTTTAATGTACTGCTGGAATGGTGAAAGTGTTTTTATTTTGTGTTTTTTCTCCTAGATGCTGAAGGAATGGACGTGGCTGCGAGGAGAGCAGAGCTTCTCCAGCGATCTCTCCTGAAAGTGAATTTGCCTAAACGTGACTCTCTGCTGCCTCCGTGTGGTCGGCGATTGTAACAACAGGAGGATGCGAATCCAGTTCTGGAGTTTAACAGAGATTTATCTGAGGGATCCCACATTTCCAGGAACATGGGATCTAAAAAATAACATTCTAGGGTTTATTTTGTACAATACTTCCTTACGAGGATATTTTAAAAAAATCTTTCGCAGGGTTTTAACATCTACAAACACTTAACTATAAAAAAACTGCAAATTTTATCCTCAGTTTTACACTTAAAGGTGAATGTAAATAATTTTATACAGAAATGTAAGGATATCCATTTCTGTGCTGGATTTTTTTCCTCTTATGTAAACTGATACAAATACAATCCACCCTATGGTGTGTCTTCTTACAATTATTTTTTAACAGACGCTTTATTTTTAATCCAAATTGTTACTGTACAGAGGGAAACATTAGTGGTTATTACACACATTATACCATTAGGCCTGTAAATATCTTCTAATCACAATTTGCTATTTCAGGTGTTTAGAAGAAATTAAGAGGTATTTTTATACTTGGATTGAACCAATTCAGCTGTAATTTGAACTCATTTTCATGTTTTGAGTGAAAGAATATTTTTTGGTAACATTTCTTTAAATGTAGTGACCTCTCTGTCACAGTTTTACTCATAAACACAATCTGAAATAAATCAAATACTGACACATTAACATTTGGTGTATCATTTAACGGTTCTTACTATGCGGGTTAGTTTTTCCAGCTTTGGTCATCAGACAGATTCAACCTTTTCCAAATAGTTGTAAGACTTAACTAATAGAAGCTCTATTTGTTTATTTTATACCAAGTTTTGAGGAAGATGATGAATTTAGAAGAATTTCATCCACTGTAAGCAATGCAGCAGCACCTCTAGCAGTAAAACATCCCCACAGCATGATACTTCCACCTCTATGCTTGCTTGTTTGGCACATAAGGTTTGGAGCCTCACATTTGCTCTACAATCATTTTCAATATTTTTGTCTCATTTGACCATAAAACTTTTATTCAGAAAGCTTCCCAGTGTGAGCAGCTGAAAGTTCAAGTCCATCTTGAAGTTGTCGGTTTGGGTCGGCGCAAGGTAAATTTAAAAGTTTTTGTAAAACTCTTCTTTGTGGATCGTGAAACTGATGGAGCCATGGTGGTTTCTCTGACTAGACCAACTTCCTTTATGGCTGATAATTAACTTAATAATAAAAATACTACAAATCAACAAGATTGTGGTGTTTGACTTTCTTTATTTGATTAAATTACTTTGAGGTCCTACATGTTAACGATACTTCCTATACTTCCACAGCAGAGTTGTGAAATGTGACAAAGGCTGAAACATGACAGGACGAGTTGACACGGAAATCCAAATATCAATCGATCCCTTTTGTTTTTTTTACCAAATAAGATCTGAAAAACACATTTAGGCAGCTGAGGATTTACAGTTTGCTACTGAGGTCAGGAGGAAGAATCAAAGTCAGCTTCTCAGGTTGAGAGAAGGAGGTTTCATCTTTCGCTCTGGTTTTTATTGCATCCGTTTTGTACAAACTTTCACAAAAGTCTTAAAATCATGCAACAAAACCACAACACTCCAAACAGGCAGCCTGTGTTAATCCTACCATAATCCAGCTGAACGTAACTAAACCAACCAGACAGTTAAAATGAAAAGATGCCTCAGAACTTGCGTCTTCTCTGCAAACACTAATGCTCAAGTTAAAAGTGCACTTTTATTTGTTAATCGTATTGTTTTTGCTGCATACTGATAAAAATACGCTCTTAGGTTTGTGTTGAAAGTCATAGATATACTAAAATGTAAAAATAAATTAGGACTGGGTGGTAGTTACAGTACTGTAGGTCTTGGAGGTTATCAGGGCTTCAGGGCTAAGGCCAAAGAGCGTGTATCTGTGTGTGTGTGTTGGACTCAGAGGGGTGATGTGTTCACGTATTGCTGAGTGTCGTCACATTTGAGGCCATTTTGTTTTTTTTTCTTTTCCCATCTCCGTTCTCTGGTTTATGCCTCCACTTCGAACGACATGCCGACTTTGTGTCCGCCGGAGCTGACGTTCTTCCCGTCGATCATCGCAGAGAGGGAGAGATTCACTCCTGCATGGGGAGAGCATCGGGAGTGAGTTTCAGGTGATTGCTCTTTGAGTTGATTCTGCTAAAAACAACATTCAAAATGTCAGAGGGCGAACCTGGCCTGAGGGTTCGTGTGTATCCAAGCCCAACGACGCCGGAATTGTTGACTTTTGCCTGAGAGGAGAGAGAGAGAAAAAAAAGGTAATAATTCGAGGAATTATAATTATTCTTAAACATTTCGTACATTTTTATACTTCCATTTGGGTCTCTAACACTTCAAAAACAGTCCATGCGCTTAAAAAAAAACAACAACACATAGCTGCTTTTTTGTAATAAGTTTTATGGTTTTTGTGTCTGGAAAATGAGCTGCTTCAGAAATCCTCTTCCAATCGACAGGCACGCTGCACCGTTACCTAGCAACCCAGCAAAGCCCAATCCGTCTCCTAGCAACCCAGCAAAGCCCAATCCGTCTCCTAGCAACCCAGGCAAAGTTCCAGCAGCAGCTTATTTGGATTTAAGATGACAAGACGCCAAAAAGCAGCTCATTCTGAAGGAGCTTAAAACTGGGGAAACTGACCAAAATCCAAGAAAGATTTTGTGCAAACAAAATGTAATATTCGTTAAACATATCCTCAGCTGTTAAGGAACCATGTCAGGTCATCATTAATGAACACACACAGATCTTTTGATGCATTATATGTCAATATTTAGAGCAATGTTTTTGCCCAAAACAGTGAGACCAGATCTGCCTTGTTGCCTTTTGGGACAAAACTTGCTAAGAAGAGAAAAAGTTACATGAAAACAGAGTTTTTAAAAAATAAATAAATACTACTAACCTTTATTACATTTGATCTCATTATAAGAAGTTTGAAAAAGAAAAGCCAAACGATAAATTTTTTCCAGGCCGTCTCTCCAAATCAATCCCACGTATATACTCTCTTTTGAAAAAACTCAAGAAACAAAGAAAAACACTTATATTTTTTATATTTAAGTACATTTATATATTGTCTTCATTGAGGGGAGAAGCGGTACTGAAACCAACATCCTTGTTTGTGTGCATAAACACATTAAAAGTTCCTCAACACTCAAAAAGGACATTTTCACTTATTTTAGAGGATATTTCAGATGTGCCACTAAGTGTCATTCATAACATGAATTTCTAACTCCAGTAAATAACATGTGCTGCATGTGTTATTTCTTACAGACAGAGAGGAGTCCTTGTGCAGATGGTATTTGGTTCCAATCCCAAAGCGTGTGTTGTTGCTTCCTGCTGTCCAGGCCAGGTTCACCGCCGCCTCCAAGTTCCTGTTCACCTTCTGGTAAATGGAGGCCCCAAACTCTGACCCGTCATTACTGAAACAAAAAGACCCGAGCACAATGTAAAAAAATAAAAGAGTGTCTCTATTACAGAAATCTCCTTTTCCTTTACCAGAAACATTTAAACAGAAGGGAGACTTCTTACATCATCTTTCAGTAATACAATTTACTGAAACTCATATTTTGTGTTAATTTTAAATATAACACATTTTGAGTCATCAGAATATAGTCCTTAATTCATTTTATTTGTATTTTAGGTCTTTTAAAACCATTTGTTTTGAAGCACTAAAAGAAACAGCCAAAACCCATGTGAATTATAACCTGAAAGTAGGAGTGATTAGGTATGGAATGCTATTTTGGTCATTAATCACAGGCTTGCCGGCTTCACTTACTGTCCACCAGATGCCATTAGAAACCCAAATACATATTTAATAGAAGCCAGCAGACATTTAATATACACCCCTATTATTTTAAAAGTGTAGCGCATTAAACACCTGGTGGCATTTTCTGACTAAAGTTAGTAACTCTTACCACTGATTTTTCTTTTATTACCTGCATTTTTCTTTAATTTCAATTTCATTACAAGAAGAGCTACAAACATCCAGTGAATTTTTCCTGAAAAAAAAGACTAGAGCACATCTATTTATTAAACTTGGTTAAACTGAAAAGGTTTTTTTTAATAAAGTTTTCATGTTTCTTGCTGAGAATAGATCAAAAGATGTTCTAGACCTAAAATTTCAAAAACAATTACACAAAAAGTTAGGAAACTCTACGCCTTTGTTTAAAACAAAAAATGTCACTTTGTTTTATTAAAATATTGCATGTTTAATTTGTTGCTGAGCATATAAAAAATGTTTTAAGCTGGAAAAACAATTTTGACTTTGGGGTTTATGTTGGGACACAAATGTGCTAACTGCACACCACACCTGCTCAAACAGGATTAAATTAATTTTACACATTTTAAATGCCGGGAGCCATCTGTTAAGCATCTGCTGACTTAAATTGAACTGGTGTTGCTAAAGCAACACCAGATGAAGCTTTTAGTGTGTTTTGATGCACATCATTTAGTTTATATTTAACCTGCTCTAACTGTGTTTAGAATACAGTTTCACAGTGTTAGCTCTGCAAAATGATCACAAATTCATATTGGGCATTTATTATATCATGTATCATTTATCGTAGAAAAATTTCTTATCATGATAAGAATTTTGATCAATTTCAATTGACAAACAGTATTTATCTCATGTTTTATTTTTACTATTTTCTCCACTATCTGTTCATCCATATCAGTAAATTTTACATGCAGTCACTGTGCAGTTTGTTTATTCAAGTCTCACTTCTTTAAGAAGCCTGTTTCAAGACCAGCACTTGTGTTTGTGAAGCTAAGAATGCTGTGCCATGCAATCACAACCAGTCACCTAAAAGAAAGTAATAAATAATTTTTTAAATCAGAATTACAACAGTACTACAAAATACCGCAGTGAAACTGTAAGTCTACACCTCCCACCCTTACTCACACGTGGGCGTGCACATGGAAGTCAGAGCCCTGGTATCCTAAGGCCCAGTTGTATTTAGCCATTTTAGACTTGGTCTCATAGGCCATCTGGCAGCCGCCGATCAAGCTGCTGAAGGCCAGCACGGCGGCCGCGTGGACGGTGGGAGCGGCCTTGTCGAAGTCCAGGTTGCAGCCCAGGTTCATGTGGTTCCGCTTGTATGCGCTCTTCACTTTCCCATTCCTCTTGCTAAACGAACAGCAGGACAGCATAAGTGTAAAGTTTAATTTAACTTTGCAGATTTAGCATGAAAAGGATCGTTGTTACCCGGTGCTGGGAACAAACAATGCGTCCAATCCGAGCTTTAGCCCTGTAGCCAGCTGAGGACACAAGAGACAACCAGTGAGCTCATTCTTTCAACTTCTGAGTGCAGCGCTTACACAAAACAACTCTGAGCCCGACCTGGTCCTCCATGGTGACGTCCACGGTCAGAGTGTTGTCTGAGGTCCATTTCTGGTTGAAACTGAGCCCCAGATTGTTCACTTTGTACTTTGTCTCCAGATGGGCTCCTGACTTCCCTGTGTCTGTGTTGTTGGAGCCCGAGGTGATAAACTCCTGCAGGGACAAAGAGGGAAGAAGTGTGGAAAATGAAATGAGACAGGGAAAAAAAAATCACATATTAGTAGACTGATACAGAGGCGTGAGAAAGTAAACAAGGAGAAAATAAGCAGCTGTGGGAAACCATGGGCCGTGTCAAGAATACACGGCCCATTATGTAAAAAGGAAAACTGGAAGCTGGAGAATCACTGGTGAGGAAAAGTGAAGGCAGGACTGAGGGAGAGGCTGCTGGAGTGGATTTAAGGAGGAACACTGTCTGCTACTGCTGCAGCTGTGTCTGTGTTTCCACTGACCATTTAATGGTGCAAATTGGAATTATGAAAATAATTCACTTAATGGAAATAGTCTTCAATAAAAAGTTTTGAGCTGGCTGTAACAAAATTAGCATATCTCGCAAAACTGCAATGGAAACACGTTTTTCGCATCACACGGATGTCACGGATGAAAAGACAAAGAGGACGACAGGAAGTAGGGCTGTGTAATAATATCGATATCGCGATATATATCGATATTTTCTTTCCTAGAAAAAAATCAATATTCATCTGCAAGTATCGTAACATCCAACTGTCACCTTGCTCACTCACTGCTTGCTTCGCTGGGAGAGTGATTAGGTCATCAGGCTTAGAGTGATTCCTTCAGATATAAGTGTCAAGGTTAAAAAGGTATCAAACTATTCAGAGCAGGGTACTTGGTGCACTTTATTTATTTTACAAATGCAGGTAAGCTACAGTTTGCACTGTTTAAATTAAAAGAAACATGTTTTCTCACCACTTCTTTGATTCATTTTGTCCAGCTGTCGACTTTAAGTCTGTGTCCAGGTCCAACCAGAGCCAGGTATTGTGTAGTTGGTGCTTTTAATCAGTTTTCAGTTAAATTAATTCAGTCCAACTCTATAACAGTCACAAAATGTCACCAAAATCACTCTGTCCCTCTAAAATCTTTCAGAAAATCGCAAACGTGTATTGAATTGTATCGTTTGCTGAATATCGCAATATATATTGTATTGTGGGCAGAATATTGTGTATCATATCGTGAGATTATTGTATCACTACAGCCCTAAGAGGAAGTGGAAGGAGGATGATGGCACACCATGTTTTTTAATGACTTATCACATGAACAAATTTATTTACGTGTGGTTTTAGTTGCGTCTCTTGTTTAACGGAAACGCTGCAACTGTGAAACTGTGTTTTTTTCCACACTAGCAGAATATCAACAAAGTTTTGCCTACATTTGTAATGGAAACCCAGCTACTCAGCCCAGTAACTGCTGGAAAGAAAACAGCTGTGCACATTACTGGCCAATCTCCGCTACACCTGCCGATACTCATCATGTTTGAGGAAACACACGCAGACCTTCCTGTCTTAACATCTAACAGAAGAGTCCAAAGAAGAAGCAGACAAACGGAGATGGAGAAAGTTAAAGAGAGCAACAGTTTGAAGAAATATTTGCAGCTCCGCAGATACAGAGGATAATGTACATAAAGCCTGTTTCTTTCTGAAGCTTAAATTTGTTTTTACATTTAATAATGTGTTTTAACGGGCTTTCATGTAAAAAATGAATAGCACAAACTTGGAAAGTAAAAGAAAAGCATCATATGGTTCATAGTTATTTTATAAATAATAATCTGAATGATGTTATTGCTTTCTAGACACTCAGAGTGAATCCAGCTGTTCTGTGAAGGCCTGACAGGCGTTAGTGATTAAAAAGCACCATAAAAACACTCAAACACTCAGAAAACAGGGCAGGGATACAGGCGAGGAGAAGTTGATCAAGCAGGGAAGGTTATGAAAACAGTAAGTGTGGCTCAACCTGTCACAATAATAAATAGTGCTGGACGATAAATAGTCCCAGAAATTATTACTATGAACGATTCTACAGTTGTCTTGAGGCCATTTTCATCTAATATAATGATAACTGTGGAGTCAACGATCAATACATTTTCATTTCTAATGAATATTTAACACTGTATCTGGAAGACATTTTAAATATCAAAGATAACCAAACAAAACAAAAAAAACAACGAAACAAAAAATAAAATGGATTATGAAGTTTCTGTAAACAAAACTGCCTTTTAAGACACATTAATCATCAGGCTCAGAAAGGAGAACAGGAAAAACTACCAGTTTTTAGACTTTTATCAAATAAATAAAAGTTCAAACTATCCACTTTGTATTGTGTCAAATGTTTTCAAAATGGTGGCTTTTCAATAACATTACAGGGAAGCAATTATTTAAAAATTAAGCAAACTACACAAACAAGCCAACAAATGGAAATTTTTGGTCATTTTTTAATTTCTTGTGCAAGTTATTCATATATTGCTTATTGTGACGAGCTACTGCGTGGGAAAAAACAAACTACTCTGTACTGCACCCACCAGATTTCAATTTACTTTTCCTCCACTTCTTAATTTTGTACTCATTTGTGTTAGTCTGTCACAGAAAACCTCAATAAAGCACAATAAAGCTTGTGGTTGTAATGTGACAAATGTGAATGTTCTTGCAGAGTACTGCATGGCTTTGAAAGAACAGATTTAAAAGAAAAACATAATGTCTAAAATCAAACTTATATCTAATATCAGCAACTTAGAGACAAAAGTAAGGAGAACATCCAGTGTATTATATCTGAAGTAGATGAGGTCCAAGACAGAGAGCGCTTAAGTTCAATGCTTAACTCTAATTACTGAAAGATAAATACAAAACTACTTACAACCCCATTATGAGACTTGGTCTTGATATCCAGCTTCATAACTCCATAGCCTGAAGAAAAACAGGAAATAAAGGAAATGCTGGAGAAATAACAGAGCCAAGCGCTTTGGCTGCAGCGTGGCTCTAAAAGCTGCAGAATAAATAAACATGTGCAACATGCAGCAAATGAGTCCTGAATGAACACAGGAAACTCTGTGTCCATGGTTGTCCCACGAACACAGAGTTCATGGGACTAAAACTTCCTGACTAAAACCAGGAAGTTAGAGCACATAAACCCAGTTCTAAAATCCTTACTGTAGCTCAGAGGACAGACTTTAAAATACTGTTAGTTCATAAAACGGCTTAGCATCACAATACATTAAGGATCTCTCAGGTCTTCTAGTTCTGGTTTGCTCTGCATCCCCAGAACCAGAACCAAACAAGGAGAAGCAGCATTCAGCTTCTATGCACCACAAATCTGGAACAAACTTCCGAAAAACTACACAATAGCCGAAACACTGAGGTCCTTTAAATCTCAACTAAAAACCGAGCTGGTTAGAGTTGCTTTTGAAACATAATCAATGAAACATTAATCAACAATCTGATGTGTAACGTTGGCAAAATGTAATGCTTCAGTTACTGAATGTCTGTTTAATGACTTTGTATTTTTATGATGTAAAGCGCTTTGAAATGTACTACACAAATAAACTTGATTAACAGACTGATTAGATTCAGAGAATCTTGCATTAATGCAGAGCAGGTCCACATTAATCCTGTGACTCACCATAGCCTTTGGTGAAGATATCTTTGGCATCTTTTCCCAAGTCTGAGTACGCTGGGGGGACAACCATTGTTCCTGAGGAAACACATCCATTTAAATTCTAACTAACAGCAAAAACATGCAGATACAAACTTAGCTGCATTTCCCTGAAAGATGCATAATGGCAGCTTACAAATGTTTCCAAACCAAAATGTTTAGTTTCCATTAGAAGTTTTGGGCTTGATGACTCATTTTTCCATCTCCAGATCGTTGTTCAACAAAGCCCATTTTTTCCTCTCCAGTTGGTCCGTACAATGGTCTTGATCCACTCACCACTTCACCGTTATCTCAAAAAGTAGATATTTTTTAAGCATTTTACTGACAAATGTTGCATTTTCCTGCAGTTCTGAGTAGCAAGCTTTGAAAAGCTATTAATTGAATGTAGCTTTTTCTTTAAAACAAACAAAAAAACTTTGAAGCATGAGGAAAAGCATCAATAGAAGTAGCAACAAGCCCAGAAAACATTGCATAAAATGTTAAAAAATAGATGTGACTAAAAAAACAGGAAACATTGAGCATCTTCTTCCCAAAACCACTTCAAGAAAGTACTGAAATAAATCAGATCTTTGAAGCAAATTTGAAAAGAAATTAGATATATTCTACACATTATAGTTTAGTTTGCATATACTACTCATTAGCATGAGGTATTGATTTTGACCTTTATATGATAGTGTTTTTCATGGTGGAATAAACTACTCAACAAGCAGACTAAATAAAATTTACTTTTTTACATTTGTGTGGATGTTTTTTTTCACAAGTATGTATTCAAATAAGTCTTTTAATTTGAGAACTATATGGTCTAGAACTGGAAACAGTTCAATGTTTTAACAGGACAACGACACATTTGGAGCAGATCAATCAGACTGAAGTCAAGCGTCTCATCTTAGCAAACGCCTCACCTCATGTGTGGACCAAGCTTAAAAAATTAGTCCAATCACATTGAACTGAGACTGAAATAAAAAAAAAAAGTTTCAACTGAACACTAAGCACTGAGGATGTCATCCATACATTAAACAACAGAAAGCAGCGCAAACATTGAGCTCGCGCCATCCAGCCAGCAGACGAGTTTCTTTCTGTGGGACTGACATCTCCAGCCCATTGATGTGAAACTATTGATTCTTTGGCAACAATCCCATCACAATCCAGCAGCCATTATTAAGCTAATGAAACCATTTCTCCTGCTGAGACATGCAGAACCACAGACCACAGATAACTTGCTGCCACTCACAAAATGCATGACAAACAAAATCCTTCATTATGCAACACATCAGGGCAGGAGGAGATGTAATATGTATGATGTGCAAAGACATACGACCAAGCGAGCGCAGAAGAGCTAACTTAAGCAGTAAAAGCTGGATTCTCCAGTCAGCAGCTATACGCTGCTGCAGTCCTCCACAGCGCCAGCGCCGCACTGCTTCACGCCGTCATCAGGGTCCCGTGAATTAGCATGCATGCATGACCTTGAGAGGTAAGAAGACATTTCTGACAAGGTGACTCTGTCTGATCATTTGCAATTATTTTTGCCTTCACTTGCAGTAAAGCTGGGTTAATGTTTGACTTAATCGTTTTCTTACTTTTGCCCCCCGCCCTGCCCTGACCCTTAAACCCATCATCTTGTCTACAGAAGAGTTGGACTTTGCCCATCAGGCACTGTATCCCAGTCAGAACCGGTGTAGTCCAATCAAATGCCTGGAACAGACAGACTGAAACTGGAAAATCTTTAATAGTGGCTCCAAGGTCAGCGCCGTCACCCCAAAGCGATCCAGGGACCCTGATGATGTTTTTCCTCCGTCTCCCTCCATGCACCCCCTCCACTCACCGTGACCCTCGGGGGCGTGGTGCTCACATGCCGCACAGACATCTTTGTTTTCTGCCTGCACGCCTGTTTCTGTCTTCTCCTCCTGCAGCATCACAATCCCCACTTTCTCTTCCATGTCTCCTCAAGACGAGGGAAACACCAACAGGAACAGGAGAAAGGCGAGAAGTTCTGCACAGTTCTGACATCTTCAGCTCACCGGACAGTGACTGAATATATGCATATTTTATGGCAACTGTGGTAACATTATGCACAGGTCAGCAGAATAGTGTGTGACACAGTGCTATATAAACTATATTCCACATCTGGGGAGTTAAAGCACATTGATCATCTGGTTAAAAAAAACCCCTGAAACTAGCAGCTTTTTAGAAAGCAACAAAAAGGAGTCCATGCCATTCGATAGTTAATAACCCACAGGAACCAAATAAATACATGAACATCTCCACAATTATACCTTTTTTAACATTTCAGTGTGGTAACAGGACATACATGTTTTAATATTTCATCAAATGCAAATCAGCAGTGAGTGAGTAAAGTATGTTTATTAGAGATGCACAGATCAGAGCTTTTGTGACCAATTTCTGAACTGTTGACATTTGAAGCTTCAGAACAGATCTGAGAATTTGGGGGCATAAAAACACAAATCAATTAAATGCTTCACCACAATAAATTTAACATACCGTCTGATGGTGGTATGCAATGCCCTTTAGTCAAACTAATTTCTAATAAAACACAAGAGTATAAATATTTTTCACTCTTTGTAAATGTTCATATTATAAACTAAAATGTACTGTTATCTGTTTAACTACTCAATAATTCAGGCCGTAAAAAGCATTTAATCAATGCTGGACTACAACTATTTAGATTAGGAGCAGAGAGAATTTGGGTCATTTTTCATGTTCTTTCAAACATAACTTATTTTCCCCGTAAAAAAATTTTTCTTCCATCTTAATAACTGACAATATTTAATAAAAATCTAATTAAATTAATAAGTAAATAAAAGTGGTCAGAAAAAAGAAGTGCATTTCATAGGGCTCTACCAAAGTAAATACCTTAGATTAAACTGATGCAAAAAGCTTTCTGTCATCATGTTTTTGGTCCAGTCCCATCACTGAGGCGTCAGGGTCACTGAGCTTTAAATCAGTCTCTTTCGCTCGGTGTCAGAAAGCTTTGTGGCTTCTGAGTTGCTCCCTATTTCTCCCTCAGGTTCCTCAGTAGGTGCAAGCTGGCCTGCATACTTGCAGACAGCATGCAACCTGTTGTCAGTCATTGTCATTTCAGCCGACAGACACTCCTCCTCCTCTCACACTGTCCATCTCTGCCCCCCCTCTCCCCTCACGGCCTTCATTTCTCTGTCTGGCTGCTAAGTTTAGCTCCAGTAAACATGACACTGCAACACGTGACCTGGCAGTCAACATGTGTCCTCATCTAACATCAACCTATCGAAATAAAACCATATAAAATAAACGGGTTTATCCCTATTATACCTCCACTCTGTGGATGCAGGCAAACGTGGGCCTGTCACTCCAAGGTCACTTTAATTAGGCAACAACCAGGCAACCCAGAATGAACTGAAAGGTCAAAAGGACAGATAAGGTGACACAAACACAAAATGGTGGTTGTTGACAATCAGACATAATCTGTTGTGAGCAGTCTCTTTATTTTGATACATGCTGCTTTGAAACCCAAGAAAATGCGCCTAAAAAGGCATTTGTTGCATTGAGCTTGGGTAAAATATAACTATTAGGTTGATTTTAAGGAAATAAGTGACCTATTCAACATCTGCTGAGGGAGAGAGACAGGGGGAAAACAATCTAAAATGTATAAAAAGAGCAGTTACTCAACACCAGCCTAATCTCTAGATAACCAAGGTAGTGTGTGGTTGTGCCATACACTGAAGAAATGTGTGTTTGTGTGTGAGAGAGACAGATAAGGCCAAGTACAGCAAAACTAACCCTCAGACACATTATAGGTTGAACCTAAGCTGCTCCATTATGTGGTATTTTGGATGTGTTTGGCTTGACTATTACTTTTCTGTGTGCAGTGAAAACATTCACTCTGCATGTTTACCTGTGGTATTTGGCCCCAATAATAGTTACAGCATCACCTTTTATCAGCATTAAAGAGACAGAAATCAGTCACAAAATTTACCTCAATCAGCTCTATCAGATCGGCAGGTAAAATGTTAAAAGAAATCCTAGAGTAGTGTTGCTAATCATAAAACTCACCAAAACTATGAAATTATACCATATTGAACTGAACAAAAATATGATACAAGTCAGGAACCAGAGGTGCACCGATTTCATTTGGTGGCTGTTTGAGATCTAGCCACCCATTTCCAATATTTTTTCTGCAGACTTTAAACATCTAAAAAGGAGATGTTTAAAAATGTGCTGCAGGTTTTTTGGTAATCTAATTCAATAAAAAAAATTACAGGATTACATTTTTTTGTCCATTTATGGACATGTCTCCTTTCTGTGATTTTTGATAAATTCAACATAACTGCATCAAAGTACATGCTTTGCTCAAAATGTCTAAAGACTTAAAAATACTGGAGTTGCAACCTTTGATTTAATAATTACGATTAACATTGAAGATTTGCCTCTCTGCCCTACCCCATGTCTTAATTCGATAACATCATTCTAAATCTCTGGCTTTAGAAAATCTTCTGGCACATCTGGCTCTTTCCTGTAACCTGGAGGATTGTTTTTATGTTTATGGTATATTCCTTGGACTAAAAGTAATCTGGATCTGTCAAAATTGGGAAAAGGAGTTAAGATTCCAAAGAAAACAAAACCAACTATCAAAACAAAAGTCGGTATCGGTCAGAAAAAGCCTGATTGTTGCATCTCTAATTGTTAATTTTATCAAAAACGGGCAGAGAACTGAAGCCGGACTTCAGAACTTTGGATAGCGACATAAAAACAAATAGCATAAATTTACATAAAAACTGTTAAAAATGTATATATACGTCATTATTTTTAAAAGCAATTAGCATTGTAAAGACATAATGAAATCCTTAAGCACGGCTTTAAAGGAAGTACCAGAGAAATAGAAGTCTTTGTTTTGCTGGTTTTTCTGCTTCTTCACGAGCTCCATATGACTAAATTTCCTTAAGATTTATAACATCCTGTCGTTTTAACCCTCAGGGAACATGTTCACCACAGGGGATGTGTCCTACTGGTAACTCTTGTATGCAGTGTGCACTGAATCAAACATTTTATAAATACCCCGCATACTTTAAAATATGTCGTCAATACTTCTACATAAAATATTCACCAGTTATTACTTTTGAGCGCATCTAGATGCGAATTAACGCAACTAATAAAACGTGTAAACTTATAAAAAACACCTTTTGTCAAGTGGGTTCGAAGCATTTTGCCGCTTGCAGTGATTTTTATGTATTTATTGCAGCTGATTACAACAAACACAGGCCTAAACTAGTATCAAAACCTGGTAACGCGTCTGCGGTGCCTCCCACTCCCCCTCTCTGACTCGTTTCTCATTCACAGTCAAGCCATCTTTGTCAACAACTACAAATCACGCTGAGAAACAGGCACCCCGGCAAGTTTAAGAAGCTACAACTTTAGTAAAGTTATTGTATCTTACCTTATATTTACAACGGAGTGTGTAGACTTTCGCACCGTTGCTCAGTGTAGCTGAGTGAAGGAGAAAGCACCAACAGACACTCCGTGAGCATGCGCAGTCAAGCCTCCCGTTGAGGGCGGGGCAGTTGTGTAAATATCATTGGTAAGTGGCTGTACTGTTATAAGTGGGAATAAACATTGGACCTCTATAATACAGCACCCATTAGTAAGGGTCTCTGATTCATTTCTAGCATAATATGCGACATTCTAACTGATGTTGCATAATTGTATGCCAGCACTATGATATTTGATCAGAACATAATATTTTTTCCACTCTTCTTATTCCATAAATAATATTTTAGTACTGCTTGATTAATTGATGTCTACAATACAAACTCCTGAAAAATGTTTGCGGTATAGGTGTATACAGTTGAAAGCAGAAATTTATATGCACTGTAAAACAGCTATGCTACTTTTTTGTCAATGTTTGATATTAAATCAGACTAAATTTTTGCTTTTGTTCAATTTTGATTACCATCCATTGGTACAACGCAACAGTTTACCTATCAGGCAATCAGTTAGAATAATCATTTATTTCCAGAGTTAGGTAGTAATTAGTCACATTTACTCAATTACTTTTTTTGAGTAACTTTTGGAAACTTTTAGGGGGTTCTTTTCTATACCGTACTTTTGACTTTTACTTTAGTAATTTTATTATGAAATATCAATACTCTTACTTGAGTAAAATTTCTGGATTCTCTACCCACTGTGAGTAATTTCACTAAATAAAGAACAAACACGTTTTAACCAAAAATTCACCAGACACACACACACATGCTTGCAGTTTTTGTTAAAGTCTCATAAGATTTTTATTAAAAGAAACTGATTTAGAAAAATGTTATTTGCCTGATTTTGTTATTTTTTGTTACTTATATGAATTATTGTCATTTTTGTCCTTAAAATATCAAAATTTCCACTTAACTTTATATTTTGCTCTGTCTGATTATGTAATTTTGAAATATTAAATTAATGATAATTTGACCAGTTACTCAGTATTTGAGTAGACATTTTTTACCAAATTTTTTTTTTACTCTTACTTGAGTAATTTCTTGGATGGCTACTTTTTTACTTTTACTTGAGTTAAAATATGTGGACATATAAGTACTTTTATATGAACACAATTTATGGTACTCTGCCCACCTCTGGTTATTTCTACTTGCTGAATGTAATAATCCTGAGAAATAATTATTTTTGATCATTTTCAATTATTTTCATCAATGTAAGAAGATTACATGCACTAAGGTTATTGTGCTTTTTAACACTTTAACAAAGCCCCAAATTTGAGCTAACTGGAGGTTTATTTTAAGATAAAAACTAAAGAACACAGTTTCCTTGTGTGGGATCTTAGGAAAAATTAAACAAATTCTGCCAAGATACTGGAAAGAGAATTATAGACAGCCACAAATCATTCCTTAATTACAATTTCCAAATGCACAAAAGTTAATTCTTTCAAGTAATAATATGCAACCAGCATGGGAATGTTCTATGGAGGTATTATTGGTGCAAATGTATTTGCTTGTATTTGATTGTGAAGTTGAATTGTGAAGTTTTGTAATTGTAGATTTTTTTTCAGTCTTTCACAAATACAAAACAACAGTTACACTCCTTTAAATTCAAATTCTTAAGTGCAAGTACACAAATTATATTCTTTGAGTCACACTTTAAAAACAATGCTACACTTACAGTTCTGCTCCAAATGATCCCAAACAAATGGTGCAAAACAAATCTGCATATTTACTATTTATTTAAATAAATACTACATATTTTTTTTAGTATTCACAGACACAAAACTACTGTTACGCTTTCACAAGTTCTTTCTTAGGGATCACACACTCCATTCTACAAGTAACAAAATATAAAAGTCCTGCTCTAATATCTTTGCTCTGTGATGTAATATTAATTTTAGATTATTGTAATTATTTGTTTAGATCGCATTGGGGGTTTTTATTTTAACATGTCTGTGCTTAAGGTTTTCCCTAATCCGCTGAGTGGTTCCAGAGAAACATGCTCTCATTTTGTAAACCTTCCTTGCAGCGCCTGAAAGACAATACTCAGGATTAAAGAACTCTTCTCCTCAATGAGATTACAGCAGAAGTACGTAATGTTCCGCTCCACGGGTAGATAATCATTAAGCGAACATGTAACAAGGCCAATTTTACACTTTTTAATTGATCTACAGTGTGTTTTCAAGCTTTGTTTACCAAACTGACGGCTAATATCTGTGCTCCCTGCGGTCATCGCCCTTCAGTCTAAATCCGTTTGCGCGTGCTCCGTTGCCATGGTGAAGAATTCGCCAACAAGTGTTGATATCTAGGCGTCATCGGCGCGCGTGAACAAAACCCTTCACCGACAAACAACGACTCAGTTTTAAAGGGTAGGCTTCTATTTAATTTAGTTTGGCCGCTTGCAGGTTTTGTGGGATGTCAAATGCGTTTTTGCTCCTCTTAATCCACACGGAGTGTCGTCGAAAACAGTGTGTGGTGATTAGCTTACTTCAAAAATACTACAGCAAACAATAGTTGTGGTTGGCGTTTAATAGCCGTTGAAAGCAGTACTTATATAGCAATATTCATACGCAAATGTTTTTATTATTTTTATTTTGTTTTATTTACGTTTTTACCTTTTAGTATATGCAGGGAAACATGCATCTTAGTCGTCTATTTTTATTGTCCGATTGTGAGATTTGTTCTACATCTCAAATACAATTTCTAAAAGGATTTTTTTACTAATAGTTGTAGCAAATAAACCCGCAAATATTTCATTTATATTGTGCAGTTTGTAGTGCAGTTGTTTTAAATCATACTGATAAAATAAATGTTGGTAGTCGTACTTTTGTATTTTCAATTTTGATTGTTTCTGATCTGAAACTGTTTATATCTGATATATCTGCTCAGCAGTTTCTGCACTTTCAGATGTGTGAGGGACCTTCCACAATATCTGGGCCAATCCCCCCAGATCCCTCCCTGCTCCCTGAGTACTACAAACGACCTGCTTCGGGTAAGATTCCCTCTAATAGCTGTGTTCAATAGGTCTTGTGTTAAACAAAGACATGATTTTAAAATTGCCTTTGTCAGAATGAAGGATGCCTCATAACAACACTTAGCAAAGATATTCAAACCCCTTGGGCATTTTTTTTTTGTTGTTGTTGTACATTTTGTCATCTTCAATATATTTTGTTGGGATTAGGTGATTAATCAACATAAAGTTGTCTTTAACTGTGAATTGGTAGAGAGATGATGCATGTTTTGTTTTTTAACACTAAATGTTTGACAACTGGCTCCTTTGGATTTTATTTAGAGGTATACGAGTAAAGAGGGCAGAATACAAATGCACCCTACATCTTTAAGATTTTTCTGCATGATAAGTTTATAAAACTGTATCATTTTCCCTCCACTTTACAAAAGATACTTTACGCTCTGTGTTAGTCTGAAAAATTGATTATAGATTGTGGTTTAAATTAACAAAATGTAAACAAAAAAGCTTCTAGCAGGATTAATAGTTTACAAGATACGGTAATATGGAATGTTTAGAAAACATTAAAAGAGAACTTACTGTCTATTGAATAGAAAACCTTTTGTAACAAATACATGATGGCATTAAACTATTTTTTTTTTCTTCCAGCTCGTGGTCGTTTAGAAGGACACCAGAAAGGGAGCTTGGCCCTTCACCTGGGTCCTCTTGCTCCAGATCCTGTGTTGTACCCAGACAGCTACAGCGCTCGCTCACCATCCCGCCGGCCCCGCGTTGGCCCCAATGCCACTTATATTCTGGAACGTGGACAGAAAGGAGTTGTGGGAGACTTACTAAGACTAGACGGGCTATCCATAACTCCTGTTCCCAAACAGAGTAAGTTTCAGCAACTAATGTAGTTTTTAAACTTATCCATTTTTGGTGTTTCACAGATGAAAAACTGTGGATTTAAATATAAATTTCTAGTCTATTGAACTGTAATTAGGATAAATGTTGCTTCTCCTTGTAGAGCAGAAAGTACATGACTTTAGTAAGGATAATGTACGTCGACTCCGGGAGATCCAGAGACGCTGCAAAGAGCAAGAAGCTGAGCGAATTCATGCCGGCCCTGTCCCAGTCAAAGCTCTGTGGACCTCCTCAAAATACCAGAACGTCCCATCCAGGGTGATGGCTCAGTTAGAGGCAAGGACAAGATCTACCTCTAACGGAAGTTTGAGAATTTCATATTTTCCTTATGTTTTAACCTGTGTGTTTATTTCACTCAGGTTTCTATCCCACCTGTAAAAGCTCAGTGTCAAACGTTTCTAAAGGCCCACTCTAAAGGCGGCTCCTCCGCTCCGCCAAGACCTTCGCCTGTGGCTTTCCAGCGCCCAGCCTCCTCCAGTTCCTCAAAGGTCCTAGATTTAATGGTGGGATCTAACAAAATTATGCTTTTTGTATATTATAATACAATCATAGAGTTGATCGTTTGTTTAAATGTCTTGCTTCCAATGTAATTGTTTTACGCCAGCCATTTAAATGTTTTTAAAAATTCTGTGAAAATAATTCAATAAGGGAAATTAGTTGTAACGGAAGCATAGATCTATGTCTGCTTTTTAAATTATGCTTTCAGGTGCAAGGTCATACCGTAGACTTTGTGAAACATAATGCGCGGGCTGCAAGAAAAACTACTCTTCGTCGGTCCCAGTCACTGACAAACCTCAGGGATAAGCCCGTCCCGAGCGCAGTGAAGGGCCAAGTGCCTCAATAGTGAGTATTTTAACACCATATTTTACTCTATTTATAACTTACTCTCAAATAACTTCTAATATGTTTGCATGTTGTAATTTGCAATATTTCACCTTATAAACATTAAATAAACATTTTAAATGAAATGTTTTTAGAGATCTTTTACATGAATTGCTTTTTCTTACGGCACTAGTCATTTCAGCCTTTCTTTGAGACGCTGTTCATTTCAGGTCCAACTTACTTATGTACAAAACCAAAGCCTGTTAGTGTCTCTTAGGATCCACTAACACAAGCTTTTATTATTATTATTATTATTATTATTATTATTATCACATTCATAGAGCACTGTAAAAAACACTTGAACTGTTATC